TCCATCCTGTAGTTAATAAGAAATTATAACAACAGCCCTAATTGGCTGGGAGTTATGCTGTGACTGCCAGACTAGATACGCATTGCTGGTTATTAAAAATAAACACACCTGTTCCCAACTCAACCCAGCAAAAGTGATGAGTTGACCAGTTCGTAAAAGAAGAAATAATATTTGAGGACAAAATAATGCCAGTTTGAGAACAATGAAGCTAGTTAAGCAAGATACAGGTAAAGAGTAACCTCTCCACTCAAGGGAGAAAAGCTGCTTAAGTGAAAAGTAACATTGCGTCAGCCATATGGATAAAGAGCCCGGACACAGACAGCATGACTACTAGCCACTCAGGGCTGCTGTGATGATAGAAATGCTACTTCATATGCAGTCTAGTGTGCTTCTAAGAATCCACTGCAGCATATTTACCAAAATAAATGCTTTTAAAAAATCTCTAGTAGGAATATTAGTGTTAGGATAACAAAGTTTAAAAGAAATTGTGTACATTAAAGCAACAAGAAAGTCTAAGTTAGTGTACAGACAGAGGGCGAGAAAGAGAGTAAATTGAGTTTGCATGAAATAAGAGAACTGTACTGGATGTGCATTTGAAAATCAGTTTTATGTGTGTATCAGAGAGAGCAGATGAAAAAGAAGGAAGGGGACACACAATACAGGTATCTGTTTTCACCAGGGATAGCTGTGAAGCTAAGAGGACAAACATGTGGTTCGTTAATATTAATAGGAAACATTAAAATCTGTTTGGGAGAACAAACCGGTGGAAAGTGTGACAATAAATGAATGTAGGGACTGAAGGAGGAAACTATTTGACAGGTTTGGAAGCACGAGTTAGTGATGGTGAGTTAATACGTTAGTGAAGCCAGAGCTTCTGAGATATCGTATAATTAGTGTGATATCTGTACCTCTAATGAGAATATACTAGCTGCTGGGCCTGAGAGCTGATAATGCAGAATGTTTCTCATCAGTGACAAAGGTTCTGAGTTTAATGGTTTGATTATAGATGATTATATGATTAATGATTAGATTATAACTAAATCTAACGATTATAAAACAAGTTTCGTTTGACATGTTTTGTGAAGGAATTACTCAGAAAAGGAAATCTGACAATGAAAGGTGTTACTACCACTTCACAATCCAATCCTTAGGAGGTTTACAACTTATACCACCCTACCTACATCATTAATAATATGAATATTAATTTTTGCCAGCACACTACCGTGTGAGCGTGATCTGGAAGATCTTGTATCCAGCTATGAACGAGGCCAATCTGGTCAGGCTCTGTTTGCCAGAACCCCCAACCCCCACCAGCAGGGCATTACCTCCCGGTGTTCGGATTATCCTCGAAACCTACAAATACACACAGAGCTAGAGTCAAATAAGCATGTTTAGATTTGCAGTAAGTTGTAGGCAACAAAAGAAAATAGCAAGCAAAGTAGGAATACATTAAAAAGATAAAGTAGGAATCTGTGTCTGAGTGCAAATTTCTGTGAGTGAGCAACTGTTTGTGAACGCTCCACGATTTATACTCCTTGAAGTAAAACTGTTAGGATATTCCTTGGGCTTTAAGGTGGTCTGAAAACATTTATGGAGGACTTTGAAATGTAAAAACCCTGACTGATGAAAACGTTAGGAAGTGTAGATTATTTTGGTTGGCACAAACGTGACAAAAAATTCTTTAGAGTACCTTGACCAAATGTATCATAGCATCCTGAAAGAAGACCATATCCATGCCAGTACCCCTAATGCTTTCATTGTAATGGCTTAGGAACATGTTCAGACGGTCCTTTAAAGCCTCAAATGATTCAATAGGCTCGTACACTTT